AAAAAGAAAAAGCAAAAGAACACTGCGCCGCGGCGCTACGACCACGGAGAAACAAATTTGATCCACTTGCTCAGGTGTCGCTTCGAGGAAAAGACGATCCGCCAGCAGAGTTACCTTTCTAGTTGCGCCGTGCTCGGCTCATTGTGTGTGTCCACTCCTGTTTCCAAGGACACTACTCTAGCTATTTCTATTCCTATGACTTTTCAAACCTTGTACAGTAGCAGGGGGACTGGAGCCGATTTGCCTATCCAGTCCAACGAAGCTGTGGCATTTCGGTGGATGAGTGGTCTGATCAACCACTTGTACCTGCATTATTTTTAACTCATTCATTCATTCGATGTTTCAACAATTCTGTTCGACCGACCCAGCACTTTCTTTTCAGTCAAGGTCTAATCTGCAGTAACTCTAAAGGGCTAATGCACACCGCGAAGCAGCCTGAAATCGCGCTCCACGGAGCAACCTTCTCAAGTGTGTGTGCAAGACAGAAAAGGTGTCTCGACCAGAAAGATGGTGCAAACAAGGCGGAAGAGATTTTGTGAAGATCATTTCCTTCAGCCAAAACATCAAACCCCGCAGAACGGGGTGTGAAACTAACGTCAAAGTCTTTCTCCCTCCAGCATAGAATTCCATTGACCAGCTTGTAGACGACTCCAGGCAGCTAAGCCAAGCACAGAGCCGGTAGCACCTGCTCACAGAATGTGTCATTCAGATTGGCTTTTGCTCAATTTGCCTTGGCTGCGCCTCCAAAGGGTGTCCCTGCCAAAGTTGAAGCCTCCGGGCTGGATGAGTGGGTTGTGAAGCAATGGAAGAGACATAAGCAAATGTGAAATTGCCCTTTTTTCAGCTACTGGTTTCTTCACCACAACGAATCGGCTTGCTTTCAAGGAATTATTTGATCCTTGTCCCATATCATAGGACTCCCATAGTCCATTGTTAATTCAAGTCTTAGACGGGTTGTTCCTACACCCACGAACACTCCTTCGTCCATGGGTGCTTCGAGTGGAAGAAAAAGAAGGATATTGTATGATATTGTTACGTTTACATTCGGTCCTCTTCTGACGCCATTGCCTGCCTACATTGTCAATGTATGCTGCTTTAAAGAAACCAGTAAGCATAGGACCTTGTCCAGTAAATGAGTGGCAGACTTAAAGAAAGGTGGAGCAAGTGGCTGACAAACATGAGGGAGCCACTGAAAGATCGCAGATCTGAGGGTGAACCAATCTTGGAAATGCAGGGACCCTTTTGGACACCAATCCTCACTCCCTTCTTGAAAATCCAAGGACACCTGGAAAGGTGTACCCTTAGCATCTTTCTCGCCAGACCTGAAGCAATCTGGCATGTGAAAATGAACACGGTCACATCTATATATATATATATACACACATCTACATATGTATATATATATATATACGAGTTGTGAAACAGTGGCTTGCAAGTCTGTAAGGTCTCAAAAGGGTCACACCGTATTCGCTGACTTCCTTAAGCCAATGGCCCAAGGCTTGCAAATGGCGAGGCTGCAGAAGCCTGGTATGTGCGGGAAGTCTGGCTTGCACAAGCCAACACGTGCACGTCAAAAGAAAGTTGCCAGTTGGCGGTTTGAACTTGTTTTTGCAGCTTCAGAGCTACAGCGGAGCTTTGGTGACTTAGGTGCCAAGCACTGCCAAAAAGCCCTCCAGATGAAGAGCTCCCTGCAGGCAATCTACGTTTCTTCTTTGCTTTGCACAAATGAAACAAACAAAACAGGTCACCAATCTTCCTCTTCAATCTTCTCAGGTCACCATAGCCACAGCCATCAGCTCATATTAAGACCGCGAAGACAGCCAAGACTTTCATTTGTGCCAAAAAGTTTGCCTCCGCCAAAGGGTGACATGGCAGGTGCTTTTGACGTGGCCTCGGCGGAAAGACTGACATCACCGGTCGAAAGGTGCTTGGCGACTGGTCACTGCTTGACGTCACCTGGAAAGGCGATGAAGAGGTCCCAGTTGCTGCAAAGGGCGATGAGGCCATGGCAGCTTTCGAGACACCTGGCTGGTGGAGTCAGGTGAAGGATGGTGAAGGTATGCTTGTTTCCAAACACCTTTGTTAACGTCGCTTGTTTGGATCCCTCATGCTAGCATGCGTGACCGGCAGTTCATTGATAAAGCTGGTCTACATCGGCAAAGCGAACAGTTCTTTCTGCCTTGGACATTGTCTTCAAAGTCAATGTGGATGAAATACGGATCAATCAACAGATCTGTTGAAGCTATTCCGACAGTGTGACTCACTTCTGAGCCATCATTCCGATCAGCATGCTCATTGCCATTGTTGCTTTCTCGCTTTGGAGATTCTAGTGGCGCAAAACGCAGGACTGAAAGTGAAAATCGGTAGATGACCACGAGATTACCTCGGCAATCTTCGGTGGGAAACGAGAGGCGCTCTACAGCCTAAATATGCTTCCGAGGCACCGCCATGACAGTTGCAGTCACCTCAGCTGCACAACGAGGACACTATAGGACAGCTACACAAACCACCGGCAAGTCAAGCGTCAAAGATTTGAAGAATGGCAAGGCCCAAGGGACTGTGCTGAGAATACCCATGATCACGATGGCCAGGTCACTTTTCTCAACTTGGGGCTTACAACCATCCTGCAGCAAGCCTCAATGCATGTGGACAAACATGCGAACAAATCAAAAAGGGCTCACTGAGACAGAGGCAAGTACTTGTAGATTCTTCTGAATCTCCATCCTCAGTAGTAGTGGATGGCCAGCCCAATGAAGAATGCGGGCTTGTAACCCATTGTCCAGCTGTCATGTGAGCCAATGTTGAGATTGTTTAGGTTGCAAATGGACAAAGCTTTGTCAGGAGATCCAAATCTTGAAAGCACCTGTTGCTGGTTCTTTGGCAAGGATAACAAGCACCACTGTGGTTTTGCACGGACCATCATGTCTATAGAATGGTCTTGGCTCGTGAAAAGTGCGCTTGGTCAAAACCTTTGATCGAATCTGTATATATATATATATGTTTATATTTTTATTTATGTTCTTACATATACACATATTGAGCCCCTTCTTCTGCAGCCTTCATCCCGGCCTGCTCACACACGGGAAAGTCGTGCTTCACTTTGTAGTGAAACCTACAGGGTGACTTGGTTGGCGCTTCAGTGAAGATGATCAGCTACAAGGTCTACAACAAGATCTACAACCATGTATCAAGAGAGTGTTTTTTTTGCATGGTGTGCAAGACGTTTGTTACGACAAGCTGACGAGGCATCGAAGGGCAATGTGCTGCGAAAGTATAGATGCTACCGAGGTGCAAAGCTGGATACGTAATCGCAAGCCTTACAGAAGTTTTAACCAGAAAAGATGTTCAAACCAAACCACATCATTGCTTCATGGACCAGTTTTGTCGAAAAAGATCCAAAAGTCTTGTCACTTGATCTCTGTTTCAGTTGGAACCTGAAAATGGCAACTTGCAAAGAAAGGAACGGTATGCACCCAAGAGCACCAATCATTGAGACCATGTTGTCCACAGAAGTGTAGCCAAATAGAGAAACCAGCATGCCTGAAACAGAACACGTCCCGAAGGAAAATGCTCTCAGACAGACTGCCCAGGCTGCTGTGAAGCTCTGTCTATTGATGAGTCGATTGATGAGGCGCAAACACAGCAGCACGATGCCAGCACCTGGCAGATTCAGCGATTTGAATTGTGAGCCTGTTTGAATTCATCAGAAACTGCGAAGAGGGAGCAGGCCTCCCTCAGTTGTCACTTTTAAGGACCTAGAGCCAGGGCACGCATAAGGTTCTTCGTCCACTTCAAACCCGAGTTCCTCTCGGTGATGGAGCAAGAATGTTCCTTGGTCGACACAGGGCTTGCGTGCAGTATATGAATCGACCTCTCATCAAGGAAGCACGATGCAACAACCACTTTAACCGCCGAGGTACCAATATTCGTACGGCTGGGAAGAGCTGAAGAGGAAATGTCAAAAGGACCTGCAGCTCTTGGAGCTTGAGGTCGAAAGAGGTCTTCGTTGGTTGGATGACTGCCCAACATAAAGTGACGACTGCGCGATGATTACGCTTTATTAAAGGAGACTCTCCTTTTGAGTGTAGAATGATCATCATTCAATGATGATTGCCTCTACCACCCAGGCCAACTGCACAAACACGACAGAGGCAATACCACCTCGGGTCCGATTTGGCAAGTGGGTCAGGACCAATCTTGAATGTGACATCCAAAGCTGCATGATTCAATCCACGACATTCTACAGATTTCTGGTTGACCTGAAGATGGCACCTGCGATTTGGCCATCGGCCAAAGATATCGTCACAATGGATTGCGTTCTTCCACGGTAGTTCAGATATGCAATGAATGCCTTGAGCAATCCACGACCAGATCATGACCATGACCAGGCCCAACTGCGAAGCATGCTGGAGGGGTGTCATACATCAATGCAAGCAGAATCGGCCCTGTTGTAAAGGGTAGACTGGTCATTTTGGAACACACAGAGTCGAGACCGTTTACAGTCATCAAACACTCATCCGCGAGCTCTGTCTCTTTTTGGACCAGAAAAGCGTCCGTTCAGACACTAAAAAAGCTGGAGCAGGGGTGTCACTCTTCAGTAAGTCATGTAGCAATTCAGGCAAGCATCAAAAGAAATTTGCAAAAAGAGCGCAAACCCCAATGTCCAGCATACCACCTGTGGCATCAACTGCGGAGTCTCCATCTTGTCCTTGTGGGCCAAAATGTGTCAAAAAGAGACCAGCCATGTCCACGATTCCTAGGACGCTGCTAGGGGCTCCTGGCCTTACTAAGGAACAAGTAGCTACCTTTTACTGATTTTCACATTCCAAAGTGTTGATCACGTCAAGATCGAGGCAGGTCCTCAACTGGAAGCAGCACTGCTACGCCCTCGAAGGCATACATTGCGGTGCCAAGATACACCAGCGTTCCGTGCCTGTAGTAATATCTTATGCACAATGCTTTGCACAACTGTAGAAACTGTAGATAGTTGTATATCACAATCATAATGTTTAACAATCATATAGATCATATCAATATTGTTCTTATACAAATACACAGCGATCTTACATGGTCGAGTCCATCATGGACCTTTGGATTCCCTTGTCTTGGGACGGTGTCGCATGGTGCTGAGATTCTGAATAAGCCGAGCAAGCATTGATTAAACCAAGCTGCAAATTGTATAGCAAAAGTCCCTCACCTTCCACATTCATGTGGCCATCTTTGCACATCCCCAATTTAACTAAGTAGAGATTTAGTAAGTGCTAGGAGAATTAAGGAATCCGTCTTAACGAAGGCGATGTCGTGGACTCAGGAAGCAATCGCTCCAAGGTTAGGTGCCTACTACTCAATTGAGTAAGGGAGAAGTTCGCTCCTAGCTACCTAAGCTACTACATATTGGACGCAGGATAGCTCACGCTCACACTATTCATTTGGTTCCTAGATTTTCAGGGAAACTTACTAGATCTTGATAGTAAAGAAATATCGCTTGGTATTGCAAACAAGCCCTCAGACCTGGTGATTTTGCGGTTGCATACCGATGGCCCAGGAGAACAAGCATATATGCCAGCGAGACCACAACCTAAGAACTCTCTGGTAAATGTTCGAAGGAAACTTGCAGAACCTCACCCATAAGGTTAGTCAAGGAAACTAGAAATGTCATAGCGATGGCCGATGGCCTACCTAATAGCGATGGCCTCCAACCCAATCAAAGAAAGTCCTGATTGAGCCAAGGCACTAAAGTCGATGCTATAGTGTTGCTGACTGCAAAATACTTGATCTGCCGAAGCCATGTCACAGGAATGAGGAAAGGTATCAATATCAAGATAATGTAGTATACCAGCTTTTCCTCAGCGATGCATGCTGCTGCTAAACGTGCAACAAGCCTGGACATGTTCTTCCGGTCAACTCGTGGGGCAATGCAAGACAAGGGGCGTCGGCCAGAAAGCCCGTGAGGTTGCAAGTCGCTGGGTTGTCTGCTGCCCCCACCATACCTCCTGCCAGCTCGAAGAGAAATGCCTCAGGGAATCACTTCAAAACTGAGAGCATCCCAAGGCCCTCAATGCCGAGCTGCCTAAACATTCTCTGCAACAAACACACAGTAGGCGATGCAAAAGCCGAGCTGAGAAATGACCTCAAGATGCAGCTTGATCCACCAAAACAATGCAAGCACTCTGAAGTCCAAATGGCCGCACGTGAATGTGCTGAGAGTGGGACCACACAAACATCAACCATGACTTGTCCATACACACCATATACGGCAAGCCCAATATCACTCATGGTCTTGATGGTGTACCCATTCCTGTAGAAATCTACTTCAACAACTGCAACAGCGCAAGCATACTGTACGGAACCACGTCCTGCGGAGGACTTGAGCTGTATCTAGCACCAAGAGCAGGCACCAAATTGCCAAAACCTCACTTTTTGTTGCACAAACCAGTTCCAAGAAGGGTCAAAGCTTGCACTATGCAATGTTAGTCTACCATGGCCTTTAACACTTCTACAATCCATACTATATACAGTATAGTATCTGCCAACCTCGTTGAGCATGTTCGTGTTCGTTGTGCTCAGAGCCAGGTAACCCCACAGACCAGGCTTACGCCTAGGGCTGAGACCAGACCTGCATTCTTAACCTAAGTAGACCAGCCAAGTCAATGGATGTGATGAACCATCACTGGGCAGAAACTCATAAACATGCTTCAAGAGGCTGCAGACGGCAGAAACAGAACTCCAGGCCCCACAACCGCCTTGAAAAGAGCGACCCCAGCCTGGGACGAATGGAGGAATGCACAAAGGCATGAAATTGCTATTTGGTGCCATCGCTTCTAGGTTGGAGGCCATCGCTATTGGGGTGGGAGAATTGTTTTTTACAACATGTCCGGGCCAATTGAGTCACGTCTAGGCCGCCTGAAAAGTGCTCACCGTATGCCGTTCGGGTGGAAGTAGAGTTCCATACTGCCCGGCCGCGCTGGGGCTGGCCCTTTCCAGGGGAGAATCCATGGCTGCAAGAGCTCAAGAGGCATGAAGGCCGTTTGAAAAAGAACATTCCAACGGCTTCAGCTTGCTCAAAGACTCAGCTAAAGACCCTTGGGAGGCCTTTAGATCGGTTCCTCACGCTCAGGGTAACACAATGGGATACAGTAAGGGAACTCACTTTCTTTCAGCCACGGCCATTGCATATTCAATAAAGATACGGTATCGATTCTTGAGCCAACATCGGAGAAGCTGTTTTTCAGCCGAGGGCTGTCCTTTGACAGACAGCAAAGGGAAGCGTCCTTTTTTGCAATGCAATTGTGTACAGATCTCACCATTTGTTTCATTGTTTGCATGGTTCTTGCTTCTCCAGGCCTGGCTTTCCCAGAAGCGGAGAATGCTGTGGCGGGGGCAAATCATGGTCACCTCAAACTGGGAACACATTGACACCTTGTTGCTTGGCACCCAACTACCTACATTGAACGAGGCCATTGCTGTTAGGCCTCAACCTCTGGCCGCTATAGCTTGGGCACTGGTCCACTTGAGCGCCGAACAATAGTGAATGCTCACAGTCCCATCAGACGCAGCAAGCAGCACCACTGGTGGTGCTTCCATGTCGGGCTCCGTGGTCTCTTTCCTCCCAAGGGCTTCACCTTCTCTTCTCCGAACCGATATCTTTCCGCGTTTAAGAGCTCCTTAGCAGTACATACCTTCATCCCTTTATACTTACATTTATTTGCTAACAAAAGCAGACTTCGGAGAACAAATGTTTGCTTTGTTGACCAGCTGCTCTCCTTGGAATTGTGCCTTTGAAGCTGGTCACGAGACACAGCCCTCGCAGCTTGGTGGTGTCCTTAGCCACAACTGTATATCATCTGCCGACCCCAGCCGATGGTGGGGGAGCGCGCCAGAGGCCACTGCACTAGAAGTCGGAGACAGACAGACAGACAGACAGACAGACAGACAGACAGACACAGACAGACAGCCAGCCAGCCAGCCAGCCAGCCAGCCAGCAAGCACGCACGCAGCCAGCCAGCCAGCCAGCCAGCCAGCCAGCGAGCCAGCCAGCCACCCACCCACCCACCCACGTGCATGATACATACATGCAAACACACATGCATGCATGCATGATACATACATACAAACATACATGCATGCATGCATCCATGCATCCATCCATCCATCCATCCATGCATACATGCATACATGCGTACATACATACATACATACATACATACATACTTACTTACTTACATACATACATACAAACATACATACATACGTACGTACATACATACAGACAGACACATACATACAGACATACATACATACATAACAATACATTACATTACATTGCATTACATTTCATTCCGTTACAATACATTACATGACATTACATTACATTCCGTTACAATACATTACATTACATTACAGACATTACATCACATCACATCACATTAATACATACATACATACATACATACATACATACATACAGACAGACAGACAGACAGACAGACAGACAGACATAGACGGAATGCCACAGGTTGGCACAAGGATAAACCGTTCTCATGCCAGGAGGAAGCCGGGCAAAGGGCAAGTGAGAATGGAGAAGGATAGAGAAGGATCTTTACTGGCGTCAGAATGCAACGTTTGGCAGTGACCGATCAGCTTTGGGGCCTATTTTGGCGGGTCCAATCAGATGGGGTCGAGAACGGCTCTATGGCTTCAGAGAAAATTAGAAAGAAGGATAGGGTCGAGAATTGCTCTATGGCCCTATGGCCGTGACCGAGGCCAATTTTTCGTTTTCTTGTGTGGAATTAGATTGGGTAAAAGCGCGCCAAAAACATGCTTCGTCGGGAGGGCTTCTGGGGATGTCAGCCCTTAAATCCGGGCACCACCTCCGTGCCCATGACCTTGCCTTCGGCTCACTGAAGATTAAAGGATTGGCGCCCCAATGCACTTTGGACATACGTTTTGATGTTGATGGATTCAAATTGTTTGCAAAGTCACGTAATGCAAGCTATGCTCCACAAGGCACCTTGCATTATCAGCATTTTATATGTCTGGTCCTTATCCTTCCTCTTCCTCTTCTTCTTGTTCTTCATCTTGCTCTTCCTCTTTCCCTTCCCCTTCCGCTTCCTCCGCCTCTTCCTCTTCCTCTTCTTCTTCTTCCTCCTCTGATTATTGTGTTGTTTTTCTTCTTATTCTTCTTCTTTTTAATTTTTTTTCTTCTTCTTGCTCTTGCTCTTGCTCTTTCTCTGTCTCTTTATCTTTATCTTTATCTGTCTCTTTCCTTTGTTATTCGTCTTCTTCTTCTTCTTCTTCAACTTCTTCTTCTTCTTCGTCTTCGTCTTCGTCTTCTTCTTCTTCTTCCTACTTGTTCTTGCTCTTTCTCTTCCCCTTCCTCTCTTTCTCTTCCACTCCTTCTTTTCTTCTTTCGCTTCCTCTTCCTCTGCCTCTTCCTCTTTCTTTTGCTCTGGCTGCTTCTCTTTCTCTTCCACATTCTCTTTCTCTTCCTCTTGTTTTTCTGCCTGCTCCTGTTCCTGTTCTGCCTCTTCCTCTTTCTCTTTCCCTTGGAGCGAGCGAGCGAGAGAGAGAGAGAGAGAGGTGCAGAGAGGCAGAGAGACTGAAAATAAGACAGACCGACAGACGGACGGACGGACGAACGGACGGACGGACGGACCGACAGACAGATAGACAGACAGACAGACAAAAGAGAGCGAGAGAAAAAGAGAGAGAGAGAGAGATACAGAGAGCGAGCGAAACAGAGAAAGGAGGAAGGTAAATAATCAATCTCTTCCTCTTCCTCTCATACCGGCCAGTGACCGGCTGTCAGGCGTAAGCCTTAATATTTATATATATATATATATGTGTGTGCTATTGTGTGCTTAGGTTTCTTCAAGTCAACTCTGAAGTCAAGTTCTTGCGTCAATGACTGCAAACACATCTGAGCAGGCAGAATTCATGAGGATTCAGTCTGTTATCGTGTATTCAATCCGCACTAGATATTGTATGCCAATATGTTCGGCTTGTCCGTAGGATAAGCTCCTCGCCGAATCCACCACCGAATTTGGGCAGTTCAGCTGCTTTCCCTGCAGTGGGAGAGCTCTATGGCATCCAAAGCGATCAACGGGCCATTAAGGAACGATTAAGACATTTGCTATGCGGCCTCAGGCAGTCCCAGCGGGGCCCAGCCAAGCTGCAAACCAAGCGAATCGTGACCTGAGTTCTTTCCCAGTTGGAGCCTCAATCACGACAAGACTGCATGAAGTCAAGCGGCTGCTCAGCAGCAAAAGGTCTGTGGCCGCAGTGACACCCATGATTAGAATGGACCTTGGGGACTCCGGCTGCAGATCTCCCGGCTTCTGAAAGCTCAATCACGAGTCCCAGTGTTTGGGCTCGAGAAGCGTTGCAAATGTAAACCAAAGAATGCATTTGGGTTGCCGCGCCAGTCGGGAATCCACAAGCTGTGCAAGAACATTTGCTCAACCTTATTCGCAAAGAGCAAAACGTGCCTGCAAGCAACATAGGTTTCATAGTAACAGTATGTGTGTACGAGTGAACCAAATGATGATCCACAGTTTAGCTTTGAACTCCAACTATATGTTCAATGAAATAGGAAACTGTTTCCACTCTGCTCAATTCTAATGCTATCTATTCGTCATTAAATGCCTTTAAGACATTGATTAGCTGCTACTAGTAGCGGTCGCTTCGTCTTCTTGTCGTTCTAAGCCTCTCGGGTCTGCACATACTGTTCCATGAAGATCTCGTACGTGGTGAACGCTTTGACCGTGGCGCTTGCACAGTCGGGGTCGACAGACACCACCGCCTTCCGGACAAAAGGGCGAGTACGATCGTCCAAATGGGTTGCGAGATCCACTACCCATGGATTTTTGCCAGACTACCAACCTGGCATGTATGTTGAATTCCTGCCATGATGGCACAAGCCTTGAGCCGTACTGCATCGATATGAGGAAAAAGGCACAAATCGCCCTGTTTCTACATTGTCACATAGCGAATGTTTTGCTCTGTACAGAGCGTTGTGGTGGCTAAAGAAAGGTCGGTACGAGTTTGGACATGGACCGAAAGGGGAATTCAACGAAGTTGCCTGCAAGTTGAATGCATCATTTTGATCTTCGGCATCCGTGACCTCAGAGGTGGGTTGAAGAATCGCAAGCAACAACTAGTTCAAACGAAAACAAAATGAAGTACAATGGCAGGTGTTCCAGGAGCTGCCCTAGGAGATACCACATTCAGTTACCCACGTACATCATGACAATGTCAAAAGGATCTCCAACCTGCCAGCAGGGCTCATTTTCAGAAAGCACTCAGCTGAATGGTAACAATATTTTGAGTCTTGAAGCAGCTGCTTATCAAGACCACACCCCTGATCTTGCAATGACCTTGTCCCGGAGCGATGCACGGTTGTTTTGGAGTAACGATTCGCTTCAACCGCCGGCTGTACACGTTGAAGCGGTGCGATCTCCAGACCAACTCATCCTACGGGGCCTCAACAAATGGAAGCCATTTGGGCGAGAACCACGCTCAACATGCCATCGGCCATTGAGACTGCCGGTTTAAAACACAAGCCCAAATACAATCAATGTCTGAGCTACAGGCGTTTCATGTACGACCATGCAGGTTGGTACATGATCCTCGCATGAGCGATTCTAAATACTGATCTACTGTACATTGATGAACGATTTGGCACAGAATGTTTCCGCACCGACATGAATGAACAATTCAATGATTTCCATGTGTGCATTTTAGCACAACTTGTTGCTGCCTTTGCACCTTACTCACGCATGGCCACCCATCAAGCGTTGGCAAACCTTGATTGGCACCAGTGTCTGTGTCTCACCTCGGGAAAAAAGAAATGTGGGTTTCGAGGTGGACTTTGCCGGTCATCTGAGCTTCTCGATTCAGGTCCCCTTTAAAGGGGCATAGTTAAGTTTCCTAAAAATCTAGGAACCAACTGAATAGTGCGAACGCTTCTTCGAGGAAGCTCCCCCCGCCGCCTTTAGTAGGGCGGCGGGGGCCTTGAAGAAGCGTGTAGTAGCTACTGAAGCTACTATATAGCTACCTCTAGCTAATAGCTCCCTCTACCCGCCTGCCCCCCGTAAAAAAATATAAGAACCTTTAAAAGAACAGGCTGACGAGGCTCACAAGGTACTTTTAGGGGGCAAGTCAAGCCAAAGCCGAGCTGCAGAAAAGCTTCACAAATCTTCGTGCAAATCCGGCTTCCACCTGTGGGGTGACAGCTGATGACCCCTTGGTTTAATCTTGGTTAGCTTGCGCAGCCCCTACAAGACACGCCGTGACAGCACCCCAGAGGAGCGGCAATTTACTGGATCCCTTCAGTATTCGTATGACAATCAGGGTGACCTCACGTGCCTCCAAAGCAATGGCCAAAACCAAGCCAAGCACCACAAGACAATGAACACACGCCCACTGAATTTGAGCTGCCTGCAGAGAGCAAGTTGCTGTCTGAATTTGAAATGAAGATCTGACGACCGAGACATCAAAAACTCCAAGAACTACAGTATATAAATAATGACGGCTCAGACTTCCTTGAAGAAGCCTGAGCCCTTCTGCATGAGGGCACCTGGTGCCTGAGTCTACTTAGTAGTTACTACCTACTCTTAGGCCGAACCCGGGCTTTACAAAAATGTATAGATGTATATATTGCTGGTTCTGTTTGATCTGGATCCATTGGGTCCACTACCTTCAAGAGGTTCGCTTTGGTGAACTCTGCCGTGTACTGAGCGAAAAGCAGGAGCCAAGCCTTGGATTGAGGATTTCATAAGAGGTAACAACGCAGCTAGTGCGTAGAATGGGGAATGAAAAATAACATTAAACAAATCAATGTTGGATATTTCATGAACTATGGGCTAGTGGCTAAGACCTTGTTAGGTGAGCAGAGTGAGCAGAGTTGAGTGAGCATCCGAGAAGCAAAAAGAACAGCCGCCACGAACAGAACTGCCCAGCCCACTTCCAAATAGGCTGTGAAGCCAATGCTCACCACACCACTCATTGAGGCAAGAAGAATGGAGCTGGCATGGTAGTAGGAGTAGAAGGAGGAACGCATCCCAATACAGACCTGGCTTTCAAGTTGTTTAAATCATCAGGACAAGCAAACAAATGGACCCAGCTTGGAAAAGAATCGACTCAAACTAGGCTATACAACTATATATAAAGAGATCTTTTGGCATGCCAAGGCACACTTATTGCCAGAATGGGCAGCATTGATGCACAAACCAACATGAAGGAGTGCTGGTTCAGGTGGGACAAGGACACTGAAATGTGTAGCCTATCAAAGCGGACCAAAAGAGCAAGAAGTTGGCCAGTCGATACCAAAGGCAACAGCACGCGTGTAGCCCTGACAAGCACAACAAGCCACGATGAATGTATTTTACGTTTGCAAAGGGGATCTTTCTGTGTTTGGTCTTGAAATACGATATGTGTTGTACTTGATACCTTTGACTCCTTCAGGTTGGCATTTTTGACAGGAGTGCACGTGCCTTTGAACTGGGAGGGGAAATCAAAACAAATAGAATGCAAGCACAAAACAAGGTACAGTGAGTACAGTATAATAATGTATAAGTATAAGTAACAGTATAGTATAATCAATTCTGGTCGCTAATTCTTCCCAGCGGCTGCAAGGAGTAGTTCGAGTAAGCTGCCATGGATCCCAGGTCACGATGAAATGGGCTGTGTAGCGTCCGCAGTGGGAAAACCGAAGCGACCATGTAGAAGACCCACAAATGCCCGAAGCCTCCAAGGCACAAGAGCCTTGAAGCCAAATGATCCAATGCTTCATCCCTTTGGGTTGGATCTCGGATTCCTGCGGAATAAAACGGAAGTTGTGAGTCGTCAGAGTCGTCAGCAACAGAACCTCAAAACCCAAAGCTTCTAAAGCCTTGCTTGCTTCAAAGAGACCCTGACTACTCCCCGCTCAGCCCTCCAACCCTGCTCCTTGACGATAGACTTCTTGAAAAAGAGCATCAGCTGATTGAAAGCATTTCACCAGAATCACCGTGCAGAGGACCAGGAGTGTCTGGAAAGTTCCCCAGGGCCGCAAAAGATTGTCTGCGCATCTGAAGCGATGGCTCCGCCACCGACATTGCAAGGACTGCTGCAAGTGCCTTAAAAACCCATCTGGCAGCCGGGTATCACCAATCGCCCACAGAAGCCGATGGCAAACCCGTTCAGGTAGAAGAGTCACGACCACACAGTACCTGTTCATGGAAGCCATGCAATTTCTAGAATGTGCTGAAGCTTAAAGCTTGAGATGTGCTATCTGGCAAAAAATCAAACTGTCCCCTGCCTCTTTGAGCTGGACCACTCCACTGTCCATTCCATCTCCTGCCCGGTTGAACCAGAGTTGACCAAATGTCTGCTTGAGATCCTGTTCTCATGTCAAGGCTTTTCTTCGCTTGATGTCCTAAAGCTGAACCTTGGCTTGGGGTCAGAAGCTCATTTCAGGATCGCATCCAACGTTTCAAGTCCCAAAACCCTTCGCCACTGCTTCTGATTTAACCAGTGTCAAACTCCTTTGTCCTCTTCAGCACCATCTGTTCCTCTCTCCGTCTCTCCGTCTATAAATCACAGGAGGAGCATGGCCAAATTACTCTTACACCCTGGAAGATCTGGAAGATTAACATGGAAACCACTGAGTTGTAGAGGGAACTAGTCCTCTTTCAGGTCCCATCTTCCTCTTCCCGGGTCCCGGGTGAATATATTCTGCATCTGCGTTGTTAAGGTGGACGAGAGTCTCCCCTCCTTGTGTCTCCATGTGCGATCCCTATACTCTGATGTACAAGTAGGTTGTTGGGATTAAACTTCCCCGTTGGTTGTGGGAATTAGGAGGTGCACGAAGGTGCATGACTGCAAGAGTAGCTCCTGCAGAAGTCTTTGGTGAACAGTGGCATACTCCAGCTGCACATATGGCCAGTAGCTGTGGCAAATGTGAGCATGACCTTTCAAGCACCGGCTTGTGACGAGAGGTGAAAGGCAGCAAGTCGCGGCCAAGGCAAAGAATCAAAGTAAAGGAGTCCAAACGAGAAGGAAAAGCTGGAGGCCATTGCTATTGGGTTGGAGGCCATTGCTATTAGAAGGAAAAGCTGCCGGATGAATGTTGCCTGTGTCACCGTCTCTTGCATCCCTTAAAGGCTGACTCGTCTCTCTCAACAGAGCGACAGCTTCTGGCAAGGAGCGAATGATGTAAGTTGCAGTCTCTTCAGCCCAAGCAGCTGCCACATCCTTTTGTCAAATTTGACACTGCTTTGTGAAATCAACGCAAAGACGGTAGGTTATTCATTGTCTGTGTGTTCTGAAAAAAGAACAAAAATAGGATAACGAAAGTCTCGTTGTTCAAGAAATCTGACAAAAATCGTCAGGTCTCCTCCGGTTGAGCTATGGCCTCGCAGGAGTCCCACAGTCCACGCAAGCGAGATGGCCTCACCTCAAAGCGACAAAAAAAGGCCGACTTTAGTCTTTAGTCATTTTGGCTCATTTGGGCTCCCAGAGTTTGACTTGTTGCCTAAAGTATTTCAAAGTCTGAGATATCAGACCAAACTGCAGCTACATATCAGCTAAACTTCTCTGTGGTTAGATTTGACAAGCCCCTCCTGGACGAAGAATTGAGTGAAGAGCCGCTCGAAATCCAGGACCCAATTGTGACACTTTTGTGGCGGTAGGTCCACTGGCTTCAGCTGTCGCTCAGTTTTCAACGACGTCCATGTATCCACTTCTTCGGCACAAGTCCTAAATGACGGTCATGAGAAATACATGTAAGAACGCGAGGACGCTACTAGTAACAAAGGGCATCGCTACTAGGAGCAAGAAGCTACTATCATGGGCGACTTTCGGAGGGTTGCTACCATCATGACCATGGATGCAACAGGTGACTGATCTTCAAATAGTTTTGACGCTGGAAGAAAGCTTCAGATTTGTCATTCGTTTTCAAACTCTGTACATGTATGTCAATATGTCTATAGGGTGGCTAAATATCCCTGTTGTGTATCCGGTGTTCTCCATGATCTTGGGCGTCCCTTCAGCGCTTTACCAATTCTTGGCCCATGTTACGAGGCTTCAGAATGTGATTATACATATGTCACTGCACTCTCACGACGCCCTGCTCTTTTCAAAGGGGTTGCGCA